AATGTAATTTTTCCCCCCTCAAATGTGCTGTGAGGTTTTATACGTCTAGGCATCTTCCTAGACTTCAGCTGAATGAGTTTTTAGAGTTGGATCAATATAACAAAAGAAAGAAAATTGCAGTTCAGCCAATGCCAGTTATGAGAAAGAATGTTAGCTCCTTTTCTCTCCAAACTTTAATTAAGCTTAAATTATGAAAAAAAAAATCCAATGTAGTAGATTTCTACTGAGTGGTCTACTTAGCACCTCTTTCCCTTAAATATTTTTAAATGTGAATCATGAATTGTTGTGACCATTCAAATAGTAAACAGCTGAAGTCGAATTAAGAGGATTTTCTTTCCTTCTAATCCATTCTTTTAAAACTGACATTTTGCTCTCTGGCTTTTCATATTTTTCCTCTGCTTATTCGAACATATCCATATCTGTTATGACTATTAACATGGAATTGCACAGTCCAAATTAATCCACATCGCCCCTCTTTCACGTCAGCTCATATTGCTTGTACCGCTTTTCTGACAATTGTCCTCTTCCCATGACCTGCCCCTACAACACACCTGTTTGCTGGGAATCGGTAGTGTGTGCTTTGTAATTTTGCTTCTCTGGCTGATTGGTGGGTGTTTAAACCCAGATGGGGTGAGGAGTCTCTTCCCTGGGGTTTTGGGGTGTCCTTGGGGTAGATGGATCTCTCATATGTAAAATTTGGGAGGGTGAGTTGCCATTGTTTATCTTGTAGTCCTCTGAGAAAGTTAGATTGTAGTAACAAAAACAATAGTGCAGATGTACCAAAGAGAGAGGGAAAGACAGAGATAAGAGATGGAACTGGAGCTGGAGATAAAGATGGAGCGGGAGGTAGAAGGGTAGATAGATGAGAGGCAATATTTTAGGCTCGCCACAAGACTTCATTCCATTCCCAAGGTGCAGCTCTGCTCTTGGAATGCCAGTGAATCCCTTCATGCCTCATTGGTCTTCCATTCTTAGTTATTAAGGGTGGACTCAATGTTTTATGTCTACAATTCTTTCTGACAGAATTTTTCTTTTCCTATCATACAGTGAGTCAAAGGTATATTATTTCCCCTATGAGAAACAGGGACAAAGGTGTTACTTTATTCAGTAAACTTTGTGTGTGTGAGTGTGTGTGTGTGTGTGTGTGCGCATCTACTCTCTGCTAAATTCTGTCCTTCGTAAAAATTGATAATCCATAGAAAACACAACCAATAAGGTAACAATTTCAGAAAACTGTGTTATATGTAATGACTAAGACAGGCACAGGTGTTCTGGGAAGGCCATAGGGAGGCATTAAAATATGTCCGCAACCCTAACCCCAAGCCAACTGCTCCCTGTCACCTTAGACATGCCCCCTGTTGGTGGTTGGAGAAAGCTGCATGTACGTGAATGGTCTCAAACAATTTCTGAGTTATAAAATCAATTAAAAGTGATTTTCAAATCATCCATGCACTTTTCCCCATATATAGCATCATTGATCGGTACAAGTCGGTCATCTGGCCGTCTCCAGAGGGAGCCCCGAGGATGCACACAGCCCTGCACTGGAACTTCCTGGACTCACGTGTTACTTGTGCACAAAGCCTTTCTCCTCAAGCTACTGATCCCTCCTCAAAGAACAGCACTTGTCCTGGGTGGTGGTGCTCAGTGGATTGAGCACCAGCCTGCGAACCAAAGGGTCACCAGTTTGATTCCCAGTCAGGGCACATGCCTGGGTTGTGGGCCAGGTCCCTAGTAGGTGGCATGCAAGAGGCAACCACACATTGATGTTTCTTTCCCTTTCTTTCTCTCTCTCTTCTCCTCTGTCTCAAAATAAATAAATAAAATCTTTTTTAAAAAAAGGCAGCATTTGCTAGGGCTGATAACCATCAGCCTAGACAGCAGAGGTGACCAGGTGACCCCCACGTGGCTATGATGGGAGTCCCATTGCCCTGCCTCCATTTCCCAGCTCCCGCACCTCTGACCCGGGCTCTTTCCACTACACGACACGTGGATTCTTCTTTCTTTCAACCCCAGAGTCATTTTCCAGGCAAGGTCCCCCGAGCCGAATACCTGGTGTGCCTGTCTTTGCCGTCTTAGAGACATTTTCTTTAGAAGCAGACAATCACTCACAGATCCTTACTGTCCTGGGCTTGCTCCAAATGTGCTCTCTCTCTAAGAGGTGCTCAGACCAGCGGCCTTGGAATTTACCGACCGCGGGAGCATTGCTTTCCCACGCAAGGCCGGATCTTGTGGGAAGAAAGCTGCCTGCAGAAGAAAAGGGTGTAGAGAGGGCATATTGGGGCTGGTGGGAAGCTGGATTGTTAAGTATTTCACAATTTGGGAGTCAACAGCGCCTTTCCTCCTGACTCCTTCTGGCCAGCAGTGGAACAGCCTATGTTCCTGTGACCGAAGGGCTGTCCTGGAGAAGAAGGGTGCTGACCCCCGCCAGAGAGAAAAGGGGGCCAACTGACGTCCAGGCCCTGGCCTCAAGAAGACATCACGCTAGAGGACACTGTCGCTGCTACCCGGGTGGGCGGTGAAAAGGCCTGAAGAGAGTTACACCGTGGGGCGAGGGCCCAGGTGAAAGGCTGTGCTGGCCCGGCCATGGGGCGGCAGCGCTTGGAGCAGGGAGGGTGGCGGCCATCCTCAGAAGGCATCTGTGTGCTTGCAGTGCAGATTAGTGAAGCTCAACGAGGTAGCAAAGAGCACCGCCCGAGCACCTGCCAATTGGAACTGGTCCTAGCCCCGTGGGAGCAGGGACTGGAGGCTTCCATGGCACCAGGCACGAACGCTTTAGCTGCAAGATTACAGAATGGTGGGGCCGCTGGGGGAATGCCAGCTGGTATGAGTATTTCCTATGTCCACAGCTGGAATGGCACTGGGGTGCTCATGGCTCAATGCCTGGCTTTCCTGCGGGACCTCGTTAGGAGGGACAAGCCTGGAGGTGTAGGTGTGGCTTCTCCTGGGAGTGGGGAGCTTGCATTCATGCTAATGAGCTGTGCGCCCTTTTGGAGGGAATTGGGAGCCGTCCATGGCCGCCATTGTGCAACAAACATCCGTTTAATTAATAGTACGTATCTAGGAGCTCTGAAGGGCTGATGGGGACGCTGTGTGATTAAAGATGCGCTGCGTGCCTGCCCTCGGGCCGCTGGAAGTCTAGAAGGAATTTGGGGAGGGGCGTGACAGAACCCCAAGGCATCACAGAGCTGGAGGGCTACGGGACCTGCGTGGAGTCTCGCCCTAAAGAAGGGTAAGGACTTGGCCAAGTTCACACAGCTGGTCACAGACAGAGGAAAGCCCTTCCTTCCCAGTGGTGGCTGCGCACGGGGAAGACAAATCTTGCCAGAGTCCAAGATGGCAGTGGGGTGGCACCAGCGGGGATGGGGTGGGAGGTGGGGGAGAGGGTGGGGGTGGGGAGGTAGGCACATCAAGAGAGGGAGAAAGCACTGTGCTCTCAGGAGTGGAGCTGGCCTTTTTTTTAAATTATTTTTTTTCAGAGGTACAGGTCTCAGAAGACTTATTCTTGCTGAGTTAACTCCCTCCTTCACTCCTTTCCTGGCCTGCCTAGGGTGGATTCGCGGTGCAAGCGGAAGGTGCGCGCCAGAGGCCTCCCAGGCTGCTGTTCCTGGAGCGGAAGACATCGAGCACCTCCTCCCAGGGACCCTCAAGTGCTTGGGTCCGCCCGAAGCTTCCCCGAGCTCTCCAGGCCCCAGGGCTTTCTCTGAGGCAGGTGCCAGGCCAGGCGCGGTCGGGACTCCCGGGGGACCCCAGGTCCGGGACAGAGCGCCCGGCAGGGGCCGCCGCCTCACCTCGCATCCAGCTCTGCTGCCGCGGCTGGCGGCGCCCCGCTCCGCTCTGAGGGCGCTCGGCGCGGGAGCCCCGCGCCGGGGAGGGGCGAGGAGAGCTGCAGCCCCCTCCGCCCGCCCAGACCGAGGAGGGGGGTGAGCAGGCGCCGAGCGGGGGCCAGCGCAGGGCCGTGGGCGCCTGTCCCTGCGCATTCGCTCTCCGCGCCGCGCGCTCCCCGGGGCTGAGTGGCCTCGGACCTGGACATCGGCAGCCAGAAGCCGTGCGCACCCGCTTGCTTACCGGTGCGTAAAACGCCAGGTGGAAGCTGCTTAGCTTGGGTCACCGGACACCTTCTCCCCCTTTCCCGGGAGCCCGCGGGTTGAGCTCGAAGCCAAAGCCCCGGACGCTGCGCTCCTATAAATAGCGCGCGTGTGCCCGCCTCGCTCTCTCCTGCCCGCGCGCGGACTGGCAAAGTTGTGCGCAGGGACTCCGGGCGTGCGGCACCGGCAGGAGAGCAGCCCGCCGGCGAGCCGCCCGGTGCCTGGGAACGGATCCCGCAAATTTGTGCTTTCCGTGCTGGGCACCCGGCTAGCCGCTTGCCTACCTGCCGACACCGAGCAACGCCAAGCTCTGGGGGATTTTTGACCGAGCGAAAGTGGCAGGCGCTAGAGTCCTGGCCATGAACACAGCCTCGCGTTCTTCTCAGCCCGGGAAACACCTTCTGCCTCTGTAACCCGCCCCTGCCGCAAGCCGGACGCGAGCAGGACCGGCGTCAGCCCTGCTCTGCACCCGCCGCCTCCGTGGCTTCTCTGAGTCCCCTTCGTTTTTCCCGATCCGAGGCTCACCTGGGGGTGCTTGGGTTTGGGGTGAGCGCTTACCGTCCTTATCCCCTTTGAGGCGTGAATGTGAGGGTTTGGAGACTTTTTAGATGTCTGGGAACAAGGGGGCGGGTGAGGGAGCCCGAGGCAGGGCCGATTGCGGGGTGGAGGAGGGTGGAGTAGGGGGTTCTGCATGAGCTCCTTAAAGGACAGAGGTAGCCGAGCCAGCGAGAGCGCGCGAGGGGAGACTTTGACTTCAAACCACTGAATTGGTGGAAGTGTGAGCGCCTCCACTGCCACGGTTCCTGCAGCGCTGTCGACCTAGCCGCTGGCCCCTTCGCGAGCTCGGTCCCGGGGTAGGAGGCGACGCAGGCGAGCAGAAGCGCCAGGCGGCTGCGGCTGCCCTCGCGGCTCAACATGGGCTCCGGGCGCCGGGCGCTGTCCATGGTGCCGGCGGTGCTGCTGGCCCTCGCGCTGCCCGCGTTGCCCGTCTGGGCGCAGAACGACACGGAGCCCATCGTGCTGGAGGGCAAATGCCTGGTGGTGTGCGACTCGAACCCGGCCACGGACTCCAAGGGCTCCTCTTCCTCCCCTCTGGGGATCTCGGTCCGGGCGGCCAACTCCAAGGTCGCCTTCTCGGCCGTGCGGAGCACCAACCACGAGCCGTCCGAGATGAGCAACAAGACGCGCATCATTTACTTCGATCAGGTCAGACTCCGAGGGATGCGGGGCACGGGGGTGGGGGAACGGAGGAGGTGATTACCGGGCACCTCAGACCGGGGCTGCTTGCTCAGGCTGAGCTGTCTGGTTGGAATGTGGGGGAACATTTAGGCACTCGCCTCCCCAAATATGCCTGAGACTGAAACTTCCAATGTCTTTCCCACTGCCACCGCGCCCCTGTTCCCTCCCGGCCTCCGGGAAAGGGCTGCAGGGGCCTTAGGGAAGCGGCGGGGAACGCGGAGCCAGGCAGCAAGAGCTCAGGACAAGTTTAACAGCAACAGGTCTGTAGGAGCTGGCTAGGATCTGGTGCCTGGACTTCGCAGTCTCTCGGCCAGAGCCTGGCCCCTGGCTAAGCCCCTTTCAGCAGGTGCCGACCAGGCCATTGCCGTGGTACCCTCTGAATGCCGGATAAACGATTTGTTTCCCTCAAGTGGAGAAGCTTCTCCTCAGAGAGCTCCCCAGATCCACAGTCTCTGCAGAGATCTTGCAGGTGGCCAGAGAGGGAGAGCAGGGTTGGATCTGGCTCACCTTCCACGGCTGGGATCCCCGCTCACGTTGCAGGGGAAACCCTTCTCCGGTGCTTGCTGAAAAGTTGCGGAGGAGGCGGCGGAAGGAACTGGGCAACTGCGCTGGGCTCCCGGAGGGAAGTGCAGGGGGAGCAGCCAGCTCCCCTTCCCCAGCTCCAGTCCTTCCCCAGAATGACACGTTACCGGGGAAGACAGACCTTAGGGTTGAGGGTAGGGGATGGCACCGGAACTGATGAAATCTGTGGCTTCTTTTCAGAGAGCTGGAGCTCAGAGGTGTAGGCAATGAGAAACCCCAGGATATCAGCTTAGCTTTAGCAAGGAGTCATAAGTGAAAACCTATTCTGGGGTTTTACTTTTAACCGTGAAGCGCATTCACAGACGTTTTAATGCCGAAGCCACATGCGTAGTCCACAGTTGTACACAGAGCCACATGCGTGAGAGCACAGGTGAAGAGGAACTACTGCAGGATGTGCCAGGGAAGGGATGAGGTGATGTCCGTATTCCATACTTAATGTTCCCTAAGCGATGTACTCTCCAGCTGGTCAGAGACGGGGACTGCCTCTCTGCAGCTTGCTATCAGCTGGCCACAATTTTTGAAGAATTAAGCAGCCCCTTTGGGAGTGCAGTATTTCCTATGTTGACGGAGATCTATGAAGTCTAGCACCACCCCAGGCGTGTACTTCAGTGCACTGATTACATGTTGGAATACTGTGGACATTGCGCTGATCTCATACAGTGTGTTTTCCATGACCTTTCTATCAATTCGAAGGGGAGCAGAGCTTATTCTTCTGTTCGGGAGCTGTGCATCTTAGAGACAACAAGACACAGTTCGTTATACATCTCGATGTGCCTGGATGCTCTAATTACAACATCAAGTCAGCATCCAGCCTTATGTGTGGTCAACACTGCTTAGCCATTTCCATTGTTACTAATAACAAATCGTGCTACTTGTATCTGATTCAGGAAGTCCCCACTAAGTATCTCAAGTTATGGTAAAGGTGCTTGGGAAAAATCTTGGTGAAGCTTTTGCTGGGGATTATTGCGTGGCTGGTGATCTGTTGTTGGAGGATCCTGGATCATCAGATCAGATGCTTGCTTGGAAGAAGGGGAAATCTCAGAGTACAATTAGACACATGCATGTATTTTAAGTCAGGGCTCGAGCCTGGTATATCTACCTGACTGTCACTATATTCTAGTGCATTGCTCAGAGGTAATAGCATATACTGTTGGTATGAATGTAGCGCTTCAAAGAGATAGTAGCAGGTTGCCATTGATATAGGGGAAATGTATCTTTAAAGAACATCTGATTTTTTTGAATGCCACTTATAGATTTATTTCTTGAAGAGAAATGGAAGAGACCCTAGTTATTTTACAACTCACCCCTCCCCGACACACACACACACACACACACACACACACACACACAGTCTCTCTCTCTCTGTCTCTCTCTCTCATAGGAAGGGCCTTACCTATGTGATGTTTGCAAACTTGGTTTAAGGGGTCACTTACTGAAATTCAAAGTTAATTTCATAGCCAGTAGATCCGGAATGAACATCTTGGAAACCAGAATGCATTGTTGCTTTCTCTGGAAACAGTACCTGATTTCACTTCTCATTTTTGACCCTTAAACTTGACGTAAAGAGCAGCTGGTTGATCAGAGGGCGATGGGTAACACCGGGAGGAACAGGGGAAGGCCGCCTATGTCACAGGCTGCCCTTATTCACGCTCTCCCCCTCGGCAGCCTGCAAAGGCTGAGTCATTGCCGAGGGGGAACGAAAGCCTGGGTGGCACAGGGACGAAAACAAATGGCTGTGGCTGTCAGGAGAGGCTTGGTGGAGGCTCCAAGGAGGGCCAGGTTCCAGGTCACTCGTGCGCCAGCGGTTCAGTGTCAGGGATTAGGTCACACGGCGGGGGGAGTGCCCAGGCCTCCGTGTGATGTGTCCAGGAACGACTGCGGGAGCCCACGGGCGCCGATTGGCTGCCTGGGAAACGCCACCTCCGGACACTGGGAAGGCTCCCAGAGGGTGGGGACGAGAACGCACGGCAGGTGCCTTTTATCTGATAAAGCTGATACATTTAATACATTTATGATCCCTCACATGATACCTAGATGTTTCCGGAGCCATCGGGCCTTGCTGGAAGTTGAGGCCTGAATACAAAAAAGTTACTTTATCTTTCCCATACCATTTAAAAGATGGAAGAAACTTCCAACAGGCCAATTCATTTTCCAAGTTGCTGAAGAGGAAAAAACTAGAACTCAAGGTTTTATTTTCCTGGATTCCTTAGGCTAGTTGTTGATCAGGACAAGCAAGAAAGACGCTGATACTTACAGAAGAGAATATTTGAATAATTTACTGTTATTTATTATTTTTATTTGTAGATCCTAGTAAATGTGGGTAATTTTTTCACACTGGAGTCTGTCTTTGTAGCACCAAGAAAAGGAATTTACAGTTTCAGTTTTCACGTAATTAAAGTCTACCAGAGCCAGACAATCCAGGTACGTGTCTTGACCTCTTCCCTCTCTATCCCCAAACAGCGGTGGCTGTCGGTCGCTGGTTATACATTTATGTATTTATCCAAAGATGTGCTGTCACTGTAAAAATAAACAACCCTCCACGGTAGTTTATTTTTAAAACACTTAACTTCCAGTCTTCTTCTTTATAACGTCTATTAAAGCATGTGACGAGAAACATATAGAAAAAATAAACAATCGCACTTATTACCTTAATAACAGGCAACCATTTATAAAAACATGGCTTAGTAACAGATCTCTTTATAAGATCTTGATCTCACTTAGTGCATGTGCAAAATTATTTCAACTTGTAAGGAAAAAACTTGCTAGACTAGCAGATTTTTAAGAGTGCTTATTAAATAAAAACAAATTTGCTATCAATGTTAAGAATTAGGAGAAACAGTTAACCAGGAAGAATACACTTACGAAGGAACAATTATTCAATATATTTTTTTAACAACCCTGTTCCCTCATTTAGTTTATCCTCAGTTACTCTGATGCTAGTGAGGTCTTACCAGTTGCAATCCTACAGTTAAACACATATATTGTTTTGTGCTTTCTAAGGTAATGGGCTTAACCTTACACTCAAAGGCAACCTTGGGGCTAGTTCCTATAATGTTTAAATATGCAAACACCCAATGACACCAATACATGCCTGTGGAATTCTAGGACAACTTTTTATCTTACACTCAGCATTTGTATTGTGTACTATGTCCATGTGAATGATAGAGTCACTCATCTACCACTGTTACATGTTATAGTGAATGGACAAATTGATCAGCTTCAGATTTAATTTATTCATTATTTTTTTTTACCATAAAAGGAATGAATATCTAGTAAACAAATTTACTACCATGGAAAAGCTTTTTCCCAAACTCCACTGATTAGAAGTTTGTGTAATGTTTAACACAATATAATCAGTATTGTAATATCAAGAAAAGTGGATAATTTTGATTTATTATTTGTTAATCATTTTGAGTTTACTAATTATCAATTCTTTGCTAACTATCCATCATTAAAATCTTCAGTGGTAGTGGTGATTATTATTTTTAATATACATTTCTTTCTGGGAAAAAACAGAAAAAGAAATCACAACACACACACAAGTTCATAATGTCAAACGATTTTCAGCACTATGTATGTTACAGCTGCAGAGTGATCTGCAAGGAAGTTGGTAGTATTTTGTTATATCTGGTTTATCAGTGCAAAGGGCACTGGGTCTCTTTTTACTAACATGCTGGGAAGATACAGGCTGGCTTCATTACCGAAAGATTGTTATGGAATATGAGAGGTAAATAAAGTAGTAAGCTTAATTTATGCGCTGGCAGGTAGCCAGCTTTCCCATGGCTAGTTTGCTCTCCATGGATGGTAATCTTTTGTAGGCATATCAGGAAATTTCTATGGAAGAAATTAATTTTGTTTTTAACAACCTTCCCTCCCCAGCTTAGTAGACACGCTACGTCTAGCCACTGCAGTTGGCTGATTTGAAAGGAAGGGAATGTATTTACTAAACATCAGATATTTTTGAGATCTGTCATCTTAGACATCATTGATTATCCTTAGTCAATTTTTTTGATTTTAGAGAGAGCTCAGTGATTTTTTTTTTTTTTTTTGTCTTGTAGGTTAACCTGATGTTAAATGGAAAACCAGTCATATCTGCCTTTGCTGGGGACAAAGACGTTACTCGTGAAGCTGCTACTAATGGAGTCTTACTCTACCTAGATAAGGAGGATAAGGTTTACCTAAAACTGGAGAAAGGTAACCTGGTCGGAGGCTGGCAGTATTCCACGTTCTCTGGCTTCCTGGTGTTCCCCCTATAGAATTTGATTTCTCCGTGGTGTTTACGCAGGGGAGAGGCTGCCCACCCCTGAGTTATTGGAAGATCATTTTCTCATCCTTGGATTGATGTCTTTTATTGGTTTCTCATGGGTCAGTATGGATTCTCTTTCAGGATTCTAGGCCTGTCTGAACCAATCTGGCTTCCCGGATTATGTGTGTGTGTGTGCGTTCTGTGTATCGGATCAGGACTCACGGCAGACAACGCCTATCTATGCGTCACTATAACCGTTAAAAGCTGTCTGCAGGCTTATCTTGAATTTAATTTCCTGGAATGACTGAATCTGTTGCAGATGTGGAATTTTATTTATTTATCTCTGAAAGACTGGCAACCTGGTCCAAGAATGCGAAAACTCGCGAGTTCTGACTTCAATCAACGGTGAGTGTGCTGGTGCCAAAGAGCTGTATCCGGTGTTGGTACATGGATCACACGTGCTTTTATTCTTTTGGAATTAGTTTGTTTTGTTCTGTTTAGGTACCTGGGACTTGTTTTTCAGTGACTGGCTTTGTGTTTGCCCTACCAATAGGGTAATGAATGGCTTGTCTGCAAATTTACCCTCACTCTGAGACCACCGACATGACACCCCTTAAAAAAGAGAATGCTTCATAGTTTTATTTTAATTATATATGTGAAAGAGTCATATTTTCCAAATTATATTTTCTAATAGGAAGAATAGATCCTAAATCTGACAAGGAAAAAGTTGCTTATCCAAGATCTACCTGCTCAATCCCTGAACATCCACCAAACTGCTCTCCTCCCTGGGGAAATCTTAAACTTTGTTGCTAAATTTTAATTACCATGATTGATAATAGCCACTTTATTAAAAACCTAAGGGATATTTTTCCCTTAGGCATGACCCCTTTATCAACTGGAGATGGGATGCCCCTTTTTAATTGCGCCTATGTTTCAAACCTTCTGTTGTGTTCAAAGTATCATCTGGTTTTGCCTTAACTCCTTGAATTGTATATATTGATCTGTTTAGCTGATATGAAATCCAAATGTCCCATATCTAAACTTAGTGCAATATCTTATTTTGTCTTTTGTACAGATCATATGAATTCATAAAATTATTTATGTCTCTGTTATAGAATAAAGGTTAATATATGTTAGTTGAATTGTTTTGTCCTTTCCGTTTGGAAATGTGTATGCTACTGGATTTATTTCCTCTCTCCTACCAATCCTTTCCCCTCCCTTTCTTTCCTTCATTCATCCTTTTTCTCATTTCTTTTTTGTGGGGTTTAAGAAAAGCTTTCTGAATATTTAGAGATTGTCCTCTGAGTTGGCATGTGAAATCTTTATGGTACTTAACCTATCCAAGCCCAGGAGCTGTGAGCTTGCTGGAAGAGAATCAATGAACTTAGTAAGCTCTTCTTCCAGAAAGACTTATTGTTTGGAAGTTAAGTTAAAAAAAAATCCCCCAAAGTATCAGGAGGGCGCTCAGTAAATGAATGAGTGGTGATGAGAGGAAGGGCCCATATTCTCAAACTCAAGACCTGAGGAAAATGTCCTCCCCTTCTCTCAACACCAAAAGACGGACAGAAGATCGCAGGCCTCTTTTTAGGGGGAACTGTTGTGCGAGATGTCTCATTTGGAGATTTGGCTCAATTTCCTGGTCTGTTGTCAATAACACGATTTTGGGAGGCCCCCTTTTGTAGCCAGTGGCAGCGAGGAGGGTGTTACAGGGTCTTGTGGGAGTAAAAACACAGGCAGGTCTCCCAGTGTAACTGTGATTAATCACCAAGTCAAGAGATTCATTCATCACAGGAAGACTCCTCCTTCCCCAGAACCAATTATCTGGCGAAGTTGGCAATGGATCCTCAAGGTTTTGCTTGCCGAGTTATCCCCTCGCTGGCTCTCGGTTAAAAACCTTTCCTCTTTTGTGATTGTGCAGGGTGAAAAACCAATATTGTACAGGTGGCTTTCATCTGAATATGAGTGGCATCCTCTGGAAATGTACCTGCCCTGCTGTGGGCTATCCCATCGTTCTCTGGATTCAGAGTTTGTGTCTATATGTTGCAACAGAGTGGCTCATACTCGGAAAGTACGCTGTTAGTCGTTGTTTGGGCAAAATGGCTCAAGAGTATTGGCATTACCAGTAGATGCCTATGATGGGACAGAGAAAGTTTGATGCTTAACAAAGCAGACCAATATAGAAATGTCCTTTATAACCGTGCTTGTGGCCATCCTTTGGGTCTTGCCCTTAATTTTCTTGATTTTTCTGAACATAGAAGGACATTGGGAGAGGGCTTGACTTTAATTCCTAAGCCCCGATGTATATATTTTGGATGCAAAGTCCATTTAAAACCTTCACGATGAAATCTCTATCAAATGGGGGGGGGCGCCTGCCACAGGGGAGGAACCCCAGTGGAGGGAGGAGATAGCTGATCAATGAAGTCAGAGTGAAAGCCATAGGTACTTATTCCGCAGTGGTTCTAGGAGGTGAGAGCTATGCAGAACGTGGTGGGTGGAAGGACGAGATTGAAGGGAGGGAACCAAAGCAACAAGGGACAGGATGACCTAGCCCGAGGAGCATGGATTTTGGGGAGATGGAGGACGGAATTCTACAACCTTCATTTACAAGCTCTGCAACCGTGGGGGGGCTCCTTCACCTCTCAGAACATCCATCCACAGGCTGTTTCATTCGCGAACAAGGAGTGGTGGTGAGGAGGAAAGAAGACAGGCAGAGAGGGTGGCACACGGCAGGGACTCAGAATCTAGGAGCCTACTGTTACCACGAACACTTAGAGCCCTGGCACAGGCAAGTCGGGCCGCGGGAGGCCAGGGCGCCAGCACGGGGAAGGCACGGAGAGTGTGTTCGGGTGGGACGGCTCACAGGCGGGAGGCGGTGGGGTCAGTGTTTCCAGAAAGGGGGCCAGGTGCTCCCGCACATTCCATTGACTTGAAAAATAGTTTTCAGAAATTGCTGGGTCCACACAAATGCTAATGGAATATGGTATTTGCATTGGCCCTGCCGGCATTCATCAATGCCAGCGCCATCCCTTCCTGGACGCTCCGTCTCCTCTGACTCTCCCTTGATCTATTGATCAACAAATGCGAGCAATTGTCTGTGGCAAGCATTTTCCCTGGACAGAATCCCAAGAAAACAGAGCTGAAGGAAATTCAGGGCCCACCTAGGGTCTCACTGAGTCCAGCTGTTTTGTGGGGTCCCTTATGATCCCCAATGCCACTAGAGCCCGATTACCTCGTTAAGATTTAGTTTTAATTCTTTCTTTCTTTTTTGATTTAGGCTGCGTTGCCCTTTCTTTTTGGTTTGTGGTCTCCTTCCAGCCTCTAGTTTTAGCAAGTTACCGCTTTAAATCTCGAAGTAAACATCTATAACCAATAGTGATTAAACGATCCCTCGAATGCGTCCTGTGCTTTGCTCGGTACTGAGTGTCAGAGGTGATGACATCCGCCCTTTTCTGATCCCCCTGAATGTCACACAGCTAGCCTCTTCCCAAGGAGCAGCAGAGGCCTAAAAGGTGGTGGCATCTCCTTCTGACTGGAGGTACTAGGCTTTACCTATTTAAACCACCTGTTGCCACAACAATGGTAGTCTATTGGTTATAGCAAGGTCCCCAAATGGGTTGATCTAATGACCATAACGAAGTAATGAAAACCACAAAAAAGTGTCAGCCTATAGTGGCAGTTCACGTTCAGAGCTGTGGCACTAACGTTGAGTTCCGGTCCTCTGTGGTCTCCTTTGGTAGGGAGGGAGCTGGGATTCAAGAGGTTCATCTCTAAATAGTTCCCTCTGATACAGGCCTCCCTTTAATTTTTGTTTCAAATCTCTTAGAATCAAGAGGTTGCTCCCCCTGCCCCCCACCTCCACTGTCTGACCATTCTACAGAAAACGACTTTATGAATTTGATCCTGAAGTTCTCCTTTGTCATCTTCCCAAACTACTGTGCATAGAATAGCCTGGAATTTTGATAAAATACAGATTGTAATGCAGCAGGTCTGGGGTGGGACCTGAGATGCTGCATTTCTAACGAGCTCCCAGGTGATGCCAATGGTGCTGGCCCAGATACCACACATGGAAGAAGGAGGTCTCCCATCAGCTTCTTGAAGCCTGTCACTCAAGGTGAGGCCTGTGGGTGGGGGCGTCCACGTCACTGGGGCTTAACCAGGTGGGGTTTCGACTCACCCAGACCTGCTGGTCCGATCTGCATTTTAATGGGGCTTTCTGCTGTGCCCGCGGCCCTTCAGCGCAGTCAAGTTTACTAAGCTGTCTTTAATTAACACCAAAAGACCACCTGCATCAGAACTACCTGTGCTGGGCTTCGGGCAGCTGCCATTTAACAGGATCTCTGTGATTCCTATAACCTCAGTCCGTCTGGGGCAGCGCATCACGTCCGCTGGGACCCAGAAGAACAGCGTGCCTGTCATCCTTCCTATTTTAATTCCGCAAGCCAACGACAGTGAACCTGTGGCTTTCACACAGGTAAGCAGGAGGGGCGTGTTCTGTGATGAGCAAAGGCTCAGGGGAATGCTGCCAGTTTGCAAGGAGAGAGGACCACAGGAAAACTTACCTGGAGAAAAAAGGTGTGTGAACCTGGCACGAAAGCAGAGGTAAGTCACCCACAGAGTGGCTGTTTGGCGAAGGAAACCCCTGGCGACATTCCTTGCCTTGTTGGCACGTGCTGAGATAAAGATGTAGTTACATCTTGCTTTTCTTTGTAATGAAATGATTTCTTCCCCAGGGACCACGATGCTTCTGTCTAAGTCCACTTGGCATTTGACTTCCAAAGACGTCACTCAACTGAGTGAAGGGTGTGTGTGTGTGTGTGTGTGTGTGAGAGAGAGAGAGAGAGAGAGAGAGAGAGAGAGAGAGAGAGAGAGAGAGAGAGAGAGAGAGAGAGAGAGACAGAGATAGATAGAGAGAGAGGATATACTCAGGAGACCAGTGACACCAGCAATTTCTAGTAGGCGAGTCAGTGTGTTTAAATTCTGTCTGGAGGCAGGAGGCTTGCTTAAACTTTT